GGGAAACTGGCCTTATTATATACACTATTAGTTCTTCAAGTACTGATTGTTATGATTTATGTGGCTACGACTCCACCTTCTGAATTAACTGTATCTACAACTCATACCTCTGTTACATTTGTGAAATTTGAAGAACCGAAGGTAAGATACAAGCCATTTTACTTGTTGTTCTAATTTTAACAAAAATTCTGATTTAAATTCTGATTTAAATTTTAACAAAAATCTGACTTAAATTCTGATTTAAATTTAAATTCTGATTTTAAATTTTAGGAACCAAAAATTCGACAAACAATTCGTAAAAAGTTTCCCATCTACCAGACAATCAATGAGGAAGTAGTACTGAATGAGATTAAGACTTTCACTCTGTTCGAAGTATACAATCATACTGTTTGTTGGAAACATGGAGTGGATGATCAAAAAATGAAAAGTAGCGAAGACCTTCAAAAATGTATTTGTATTCATGGGTGGCATGGCTCTGACTGTGGTCAACCAGAAGTTGTTTGGAGAGCAATCATGGCATCGAAACAAAACATTAATCTGAAGTATCGTAAAATAGCTAGACGTATTATTCATACATTTTTTCTACACGAACATAACTCTGCAATTGCAGAGGTGATAGTAGAAGAACTATACAATGTAGTAGATTTTTTTGTAATCTGTGATTTCAGTAATGCAGAAGATAATTTTCATCATAAGCTGCTTAAAGGTTTATTACAACAGAAACAGAAGAAAATTTTATATATTAATATAGCGACAAAAATGCACAAACCATCAAGAATAGTATCTAAATACATTTGGGATAAGCTGAAGACTGTAGTACGAAATTTAAGGGATGATGATATTTATATAACGACTGAACCAGAACAAATATTAAACTCCAGGGCATTAATGTTCCTCAAAGTGTATAACGGATGGCCACAACCTATTGGGTTTAGATTAAGATGGTCTGTTTATGGGTTCTTCTGGCAACATCCACTTAAAACAACGATAACAGTTGGTGCATGTACAGTTGGATTAATGCGTGAAGCTTATCAATCAAATTCTATCATGTTAGAACAACTGGAAGGAGATTTAAGTGAAAGAGATAGCCTAGGCCTAGTAATAGGAGATTTAAATCATTATGGAGGGTGGTATTGTTACCTATGTCAAGCACCCGCGAATATTATAACTAGTTTACATGATAAAGTTAAATCCAAAGAAATTCAGATAGAAAAAACTATCGACGTACCGTTTATTGAGGACCTAATAGGAAGTGGATTGTGGTTAGATGGGAAAACTAATCTCCTAAGAGTCTCTAAATCTCGGGACCTCTATTTTGCGCCTGAAACAATACTTAATAATACATGGAAATACGACTGGCTAGTAGAGAATTTTTATGCTAAATTAGACTATTATTGACATATTCGTCACACCTGACTGTGATATTAACTCATACTCAATACTCAATGTAAACTATATAATATTGTACTGAATTTATATACCAAAATAATATGTTGAATGAATTGTGAATGTTAAATGATTTATATACATATAAAGAAAACAGTTATAATTATTTTTTTCTTATTTGTCTATATCCTTTCGTACCAAAGAATCAAATTTATTCATTATTATTTTCTATTTTATATACAACTTACCAATTAAATTTTAATAGGCCCAATGATGTAGCTATATATGGAAGCATAAAATATAATGAGAATTGATGTGCTTTCCATAGATCTCCTGATAGCTCTATTATATTAAATAACAGGATGCTTATTGAAATTACTAAACTTTGTCCAACTTCTAAACCATTTATACCAGCTAATATGTTTATAGCATTTGTGCAAAACACTGCCAGCATCCCCATGTATAAATAATAAAATATCCAAAGATCCACCGAAAAACCAAACCATGGTCTTAAGGGTTTTGGCACAATAATTAGTGTAGAATTAAAATTGATATAATACACCATTAAAAGTGGTAAAGAAGCAATAGTTGGCAATAATAATTTGTGCCTCCAACGAAGATCCAAAACATCATCGGCAAACCCCAAAAGTAACATACAACAAATTGAAAGCAAAGCTGCCAAAAATTCCATAAACTGTAATTGAAATTTAATGTATTACCTCTTGTACATTTATGATTCATTCAATTGAAATTAATATTATTTTCCATTTAAAATATGGATGTTAAATGATAATTTATAAAAAGTATTTATTACCTCACTATGAGGAAAGTTTGTATCATTGAATATGTAGTTTGTAAATGGTATAGGAATAAATAAGAACAATGTTATAAGAAAAAGACATCCAGTGACAACACCTAAAGCTTCGGGCCTGTAAAAAAATTGATACGTGCAAATTACCTGTAGCGAAATTAATGCCCATTAGAAGAAATGATGAGATAACTAAAAATTATATGGCTTGAACAGGCCCACTTACACTTTTTCACCACTTTTCTTATTCATATCAATGCCATATAGGTTAGCTTTGACAAACATATCTTTTATTCTCGGTATTAAACGTACAGTTAAAAAATACACAGTAACTGACATCACGAAATTGAATAAAATTGGAAAAATAAATTTCCAGTTGTCGTCATTGTATATTACATTCAACATTTTGAAAATCGTATAAAGTCATAAAACGAATCATATGTTTCAACGAACAATTGACGTGACCAATTATTCATATTATCAGTTACGTGTTGTTCTTTCGTGTAGATAGTGTAAATAAAATGACATCTCGTTCACCTTTGTAATAATGCACTAATAATTGGTATCTTGATGTACACATTTATAGTTTTGAAATGTGAACACACATACGTTTAACATTATTACGGTAGGAAAAGAAATCAGTTACAAAATTTAATTTCGATTTAGGAAACTTTCAACAAAAACAAATTTAAAAGATATTTATATCTGTTTCATCTATTATTCCGTTGCATAATATTTTTTCTATATTCTATAGTAAAAATAGTTCCTTTGACTTTTACACATGATCCAAAATTCTTACGTATTACATCAAACTTTAATAATGACATAAGATAAGTTAAAACTTAATTTAACGTTGCATTTTAATCTTGCTGTTTGTTTTTGATGAAAATTTCGTTCGAATGAATATATAATCGTTATCGGAGTCTATTTTTCGTATTAATATGATTGAGGTAATACGATGTTGCAATATTAAAGTGACTTCATTTAAATATAACTAGTTTGCATTGTTCTTTTCTATTTTGATTTTAATATAAATTGTCAATTATATTCTTTAATTTTAGGAAAATAAATAAAAAATGATATCCTTTTTCCGTTTCAAATAGCTTTTAATATTACTTAACCTATAACTGTCAAATACAACAAAGAATAATGTGAAAGTAGCATGTTATATATACAAAAATTCATATCGTTACTAATAAAATTTGCATGTATACTATATATATATATATATATAAATTTTTCGTTAAATTTTGTGTTTTTTTCAGTGCTAAGACAACTTAATCTTGTATTTTTTCTACAACTGATCATCTAATTTATACAGATGGATAGTGAAAAGCAAAAGGATGAGATTGTTGCATTGGAAAGTATTTACAATTCAGAAGAATTTTCATATCGCAAGGAGAATGATCAATACCAATGTACTTTTATGATATTCATAAATCTTCCTATCGATTATCATGTAACATATAAGGATTATAGGCAAGTGGATGAGTCTGAACAAAAGATTAAAATATCTCATTTACCACCATTAAAACTTCATGTATTTCTACCAAAAAATTATCCTTCTGAGTTGCCACCGAAATTTACTTTATATTCATCTTGGTTGGATCTCCCGATGTTAACTACATTATGTAAAAAGTTAGACAAATTATGGGAAGAAAATAAAGGACAAGAAATATTATTTACATGGGTGGCTTTCTTACATGATGAAACTCTGGAATTTTTAAATATACAAGATCATCTTAATATGAGTCGTGCTTATACGCGCTATAAAGAAGCCTTGGAAATAGTACATAATATTCGTAAGAATAAAATAGATAACATAGACAAAGAATGTACCATAGATTCAAATAAGGAAAAATTAGTAATTGGGCAAAATCCCATACAAACATTGATTGATTACAGTGAAAAACGTAATGAAATTGAATTTAAGAAAAATTTTTATACTTGTAAAATTTGTTTTGTGGACAAATTAGGAGAACATTGTACACAATTTTTACCATGTGGTCATGTATTTTGTAAAGATTGCATAGCTGGTTACTTAGAAGTAAGAATCAAAGATGGAAACGTACAAAATATTTATTGTCCAGAAGAAAAATGTACCTCTGAAGTAACACCTGCACAGGTGATTTTCTTGTTCATTTCAAAATCTATTACCTTTTAATATGTCAAAAATCATTATTAATACTTTCAGATAAAGGACTTAGTAAGTTCAGAATTATTTGTGAAATATGATTCTATACTATTGAGTGCCACATTAGACACTATGGGAGATATAGTATATTGTCCAAGACGTAATTGTCAATATCCAGTTAGTCGGGAACCGAATGAACAAATGGCAAATTGCCCAATCTGTCAATATGCATTTTGCGTTTACTGCAAAATGGTGTATCATGGCATAGAACCATGCAAAGTTTATTCAGGTATATGAATATTCATTATCCACAGATTATTATTTAAACATTTAAAAACTATTTAAAATCATTAAATTGTTCACTGCTATTTAATATTAAAAATAAATTAATATTTGAAATTACTTTTATTATATAGCTGAAATACATAAAGTGGTAGCTGAATATCAAGAAGCTCCTGATGATAAAAAGCTGCAAATGGAGCTACGTTATGGTAAAAAGCAACTTCAAACTCTGATAGAAAATACTATGTCTGAGAATTGGATTAAAAGTAACAGCCAAAAATGCCCTGAATGTCAAGCTGCGATTGAGGTATTTAAATTTTATAACAAATAATTTAAAATATACATAATACAAAACGGTCTTGTTATAAAGATGATATTGCCTTTAAGTTAATTTAATGGACTCATTCTGTATGGAATACATTATTTACATGATGTAATTATTTTATAGAAATCCGATGGTTGCAACAAAATGGTGTGTTGGCGATGCAATACATATTTTTGCTGGTTATGCAGTACCATTCTTAATCGTGATAAGCCTTACGAACATTTTCAAGATATGGACTCTAAATGTTATAATATGTTATATTATGGAATGCCAATTGAAGATGATGACAATGAAGATGATATGTATATTGATTACCAGTTTTATCCTAATTATGAATCAGATGAAGAGTATTATGAAGAAATTGTAATGTAAAATTAAAATAAAATACGAACAAACATGTTTAAAGCCATTATTGCTTTATAAATTATCAATTTGTATAAATGTTTAAAAGACAAGATATAAAAATTTTCTTTACATAATACTTTAACTGAGTTTTTAGTTTTTCACTTTTTATATGTAATTTTGTGCCTCCCGAAGAAATGTATAAAAAAAAAAA